CAGTCCAACTTTGGCTCAGGTCATGATCTCCCAGTTTGTGAGTTCGAGCCCCGCGTCGGGCTCTGTGCTGACAGCTCAGAGTCTGGAGCCTGCTTCGGATTCTGTGTCTCCCTCTTTCTCTCTGCCCCTCCCCCGCTTATCACGTTCCCACGCATGCTCTCGCTCTCTCTCTCTCTCTCTCTCAAAAGTAAGTAAACATTAACAGAAATTTTAAAAATAAAACTAAAATTAAATAAATAAATAAAATGCACATTTGATCCTGCCTCACCCTGGGCAGCTAAAATCCTGCCCGGGCACATAGAATAAATCCCACTTCTGCAAATTTACCCTTCAAGAGCAAAATGTTGTGTACACAAAGTGATTCGCCATGGTGTGGCAGGCAATAGCACCATGCGAGCCCCAGTAACCACCAACAGAGGTCTGGCTAAATAAATCATGGTCTAACCCTTCACAGAAAGTCCCTTTCCCACAATTCCAAAATCTAGAAACTTCTGAAAACCAAAGGTTTTTTGTCTTACGCTTATGGCATACCTACTTGGAAGCAAAACGAAGACAATTATAATCTTTTACGAAAATCCAATTTAGGGAGTGCCTTATTCAGTCTTAAAAAGGAAGGAAATCCCGACATATACTACAACCTTGAGGACATTATGCTCAGTGAAATAAGCCAGACACAAAAAGAATCAATGAGGCTCGATCCAGCTGCAACAGAGTGAGACACATCAACGACATTTAAACCCATGATTTCATGGTTATCCTAAAAAAACTAAAGATTAGTTCATTACTGCTGGAGGATGTGAAGTAATCAATTCATGAAAACCGGAAAAGAAGGAAAAGGAGGAATCCCACTTTCCCTGTATGAATTGAACTACTTGGTCTCTCAGGAGTAGGTGAGGCACCTTTCCCTTTACAGAAATAATCTAGCTGATAAATGAAGAAAAGAACATTACCATTTTGGAACTCCTAATAGCATGATACTCCCAGGCAAAGAGCCTGATGGCTCACCGGGAGAGACGGGCAGACATTACCAGCTCCCGGATGGAAATATACACCCTATGAAGCCCTCTTGCCAAAGGACACGAGAATGTGAATCTGGCTCAAACCTCTAGATCTAACTACCACCTACAGTAAATCTAGAAGGCAGAAGAAAACTGTCACACAACACCATGGGGATGTGATCCGCAAAATTCAGACGATGTGAAACACTACAGGGGGAAAGAACCCATTTCTTCAATAGCTAAATTGGTTGGGGGGAAGGGGAGGGAAGGAGTTACAGTGAGAAACTACATGATGTATAATATATATATGTTACACTTGATTTTAGCCAAAAGCGATTACATATAATACATATTAAAAGAGAAATGTTCATTGTCCTTATCAAGGAGTGAGGGATATTGATGGAGATGGGAGGGACTTAAAGCTTCCTCACTCTCCCCTTGTTGCCCCCCTTATTTCAACATATCTTTGCCCGACTAATTTGCCATTTAAGAGAAATAACAGCAATAAAAATAATAAAAGCTACTATGTGCCAGGCACTGGGTTAAGAGATTTACAAACATTACGTCATTATTCCCGGGCGCTATCCTCATTTGAGTTGGCTCTTCCAAAGCTTAGACAGCGGGAGTGACTTACCCACAGCCAAGCAGCACGTAAGCAAAGGGCCCGCCTCACCTCCAACCCCTAGAAGCAGGGGAAGAGGAGGCGGCTCGAGACTCGCTCACCTAAGGCGTTCTGGATCTCCACGGACTTCTCGGGGCTCAGAAGGGACTCGTCGCCGTCGTAAGGGGAGCGGAAGCGGACGCCCTCCTCCGTCACCTCGGACAGGGACACCAGAGACACCATCTGGAAGCCGCCGCTGTCCTGGGGGAAATCCCACCGCAGGGCCGTCAGGGGGGTGGAGTTGGAGAATCTCCACCTCTGAGAAGTGCCCTGGGATCCCAGCCCCGACTCCACCTCACCGTCAGCAGATTGTGGGGCCAGTTCATGAAGCCGTGGAGACCGTGCGCTTTCTGGATCAGCTCGGGGCCCTGGGTTAGGGGAAGAAAGGATCAGGTTAGAGGCGAGGGCTACCCTGACGGCTCGAGTTGGAGGACAGGGCTGGCCAGCCTCGGGCCCCGCCGCTCTCTCACGCCCAGCACAAGGCCTGGGCCACCGGGGGCGTCAATAAGCCTTTGTCGATTGACTTAGAGGCGTGCCCGTGCCTCGGAGGTGTCCGTGCTCCCCACTCTCTGCCGCCGCCCCACCAAGGCAGAACCCACCCACCGGCCTCAGGCCCAGATGGTAGGTGTTGCCCAGGCAGATGCGGCAACCCAGGGCGTCCAGCTGCTCGGCCGTGATGCCCTTCATAGTGGCCTGCGTGCCCACTGGCATGAACACGGGAGTGGCTACCGGCCCGTGCGGCAGCCGCAGCTCCCCTGCTCGGGCCCTAGATCGGCTGCACTCGGCCACCAGCTTCATTATCCGGGGGGCCGACTCCACGGACGTCGGGCTAACAGCTGCCGCCATCTTAGCTAACGGAACCACGTGGACACTGCAACACCCTGGGCGGCGCCATGTTGACCGAAGTCACGTGACGCGCGGCGCGGGCTGTCCTTTTGGAAGGGAGTCCGGGAACCATGGCAACAGACGCCGGCGCGCTCGTCCCCGCGGAGTGCTCAGTTCGCTTCTGGGGCGGGGGCGTGTTACAGAGAAATAACTATGGTAATGGGTTCGAATCCCAACCCGGCCACTTACTTGCTCTACAGTCAAAGCCTCTCTAAGCGATAATCTCCCCTATAAAATGCAGCGAATAACACTGCTTCAGCATTAAAAACGTTGTAAAAGGGGCGCCTGGTTGGCTAACCAAGTAGAGCATGCAATTCTTGATCTCTAGGTTTTTGGGTTTTTTTAATCTCTAGCTTTTAAGTTGGAGCCCCACGTTGGGTGTAGAGATTACTTAAATATAAAAACTTTCAAAAATAAATTAAAAATAAAACATTGTAAAGATTGAAAGAAGCATGCATATATAGAGATCTTAAGTTGCCTAGCACAGGCTTTTGTCTATGTTGTCCACGGATTTATCCCAAGAGCTTAGAACAGCACTTAGTATGTATTAGTTTATACAATAAAAGAAGGAATCTTAGATTTAGAGGAGACTGAGGCCCAGAAGCTAGCCACATTTTTCTTTCATTGATTCAGTGTAGACCTACTTATATTCACACCTCCTAGTGCCACCTTTCATGACGCACAGGAATGAGAGAGTCATAGATTTATTGACCACTAGACTTGTTCCATTAACAATAACAAAATATGGGGTGCCTGGGTGGCTCAGTCAGTTAAGCGTGAGACTTCTGCTCCCGTCATGGTTTCGCTGGTCATGGTTTGGGAGTTCCTGGGTTTGAGCCCCACGGCGGGCTCTGTGCTGACAGCTCAGAGCCTGGAGCCTGTTTCAGATTCTGTGTCTCCCTCTCTCTCTGTCTCTCTCTCTCTCATGTTCTGTCTCTCTCTCAAAAATAAACATTAAAAATAAATAGATAGGGGCGCCTGGGTGGCGCAGTCGGTTGAGCGTCCGACTTCAGCCAGGTCACGATCTCGCGGTCCGGGAGTTCGAGCCCCGCGTCGGGCTCTGGGATGATGGCTCAGGGCCTGGAGCCTGTTTCCGATTCTGTGTCTCCCTCTCTCTCTGCCCCTCCCCCATTCATGCTCTGTCTCTCTCTGTCCCAAAAATAAATAAACGTTGAAAAAAGTTTAAAAAAATAATAAATAAATAGATAAATAACAAAAAATTATATAATATATAATAACTTACTGTTGAAAATGGAGCTGATATCTGTATCTGTTATGGGCAGCAGAGGGCGTCATTGCCCCAGAATCCTGCCTCTCAGTGGCCTACTGGCCTCAATTGCGCTGATGTGCGCAAGACTGACCTAGGAGCCTTGGGCTTTTCAGGGTGGAGAATCTTCACCGAGGCCATATGTGAAAAATGCCCACCCTTGAGACCCACCTCAGGGCCTTTGCACTTGCCATTGCCTTTGCAATACTCTCCCTTTCTGGTATCCCTATGGCTAGCTCATATTTTATCAACTGCTCCTGACTCCCCCAATCTTAATGATGCTACCCCCCCCCCATCATTCTGTATCACGTCACCTGTAACTCATATTGTGCTTTTAAAACATCTGTGCAATGACGGTGCCCAAGTTTTAATTCTCAGTGTAGTTCTGTCTTATTGAACTCCTCTCTCATCTTCCCAGATGCCTCCTAGATATCTCCACTGGGTGTCTGTAGGCACCCAAACTTCAGATGTCTAAAGCAGAGCTCCCGATTGTCCCCCCAACCGTGCCTACCTCCTTCCATCTTCCTCTTCTCAGTAATAGCAGCTCAGTCCTTCCAGGAACTCAGACCAGAAATTTAGGAGTGGTCCTTGACCTCTCACTGTCTTACTCGCTACATCTGATTTGTCAGCCAATTCTGGCTGCTCTGCTTTCAAAATCTATACAGGATCAACTGGTTTACACCCCCTCCATAGCTCTCACTCCGGCCCAGCCACTAGCATCACTTGCTTTGAATATTGCGGTAGACATCTTGCGCTGGTCTTACGGCTTTTGTTCTTTACTCCCCATACAAAAACCTGAAGATGTTTTAAAGAAAATGCTTTCAACATTTCACCCTTATGTATGATGTCTACAGTAAGTTTTTGGAAGATGCACCATACCAAGTAAAGAAATGTCCTTTCAGGAACGCCTGGGTGGCTCAGTCGGTTAAGCATCCAGCTTCGGCTCAGGTCACGATCTCATGGTTTGTGAGCTCGAGCCCCACGCCAAGCTCTGTGCTGACAGTTCAGGGCCTGGAGCCTGCTTAGGATTCTGTCTCCCTCTCTCTTTCTCTACCCCTCCCCCATTCATGCTGTGTGTCTCTCTCTCTCTCAAAAATAAACATTTTAAAAATGAAAAAAAAAAGGTCTTTTCAATTCTTGGTTCACTAACAGATTTTTATCATAAATAAATGTTCATTGTATGCTTTTTCAGTATCTGAAATGACCATATTATTCGTCTCATTTAAAGTGCCCAGTGATGTAAATTTATTTTTTTATTTACTACTAAATTTAGTTCTATTCCTGAGATAAGCTCACCTTGGTCATGGTATCTTTTTTACATGTTATGGCATTTTACATTAATTTTAATGAGTATTTTATTTAAAATTCCTGCATCATAGCTCTGTTTAAAATATATTGGTTTAGAGTTTTCCTTTCTTGTACTGTATCTGCCTGAGTTCGGTGTTCAAATATCTATGTGCTGGACGAAGTTGTGCAAGATTGGAATTATCTGATTCTGGGATATTTTATTGACCTCACTTGTAACCCCATCTGGTTATGCTGTTTTCCGTGAAGAAATATTTGTAGCTACTGATTTAAAGGTTTGGGTTTTTTGTTTTTGTTTTTTTAATATTTAAAGTAAACTCTGTGGGGCGCCTGGGCGGCTCAGTTGGTTAAGCAGCTGACTCTTGGCTTCAGCGCAGGTCATGATCTCACGATTGTGGGTGTAAGCCCGGCGTTGGGCTCTGCGCTGACGGTGCGGAGCCCGCTTGAAATTCTCTCTTGCCTCTCCCCACCCCCACACAGATACTCTCTCTCTTTCTCTCTCCAAATGAATAAAATGGGCTTTAAAAAAATAACCTCTATGCTCAACAGGGGGCTCCAACTCAGGACCCTGAGATCAAGAGTTGTAAGCTCTAATGACTGAGCCAGCCAAGCGCCCTGCCCAGGTTCTTGGAAGATAGTTTCACTGGGTATATAATTATAGGTTGACAATTATTTTCTCTTAGCCCGCTGAACATGCTCAGCTTGTAGCTTCCATTCTCACTGTTAAGAAGTCGGATCTTGGGGGCGCCTGGGTGGCTCAGTTGGTTAAGCGGCTGACTTCGGCTCAGGTCATGATCTCACGGTCCGTGAGTTCGAGCCCTGCATCGGGCTCTGTGCTGACAGCTCAGAGCCTGGAGCCTGTTTCGGATTCTGTGTCTCCCTCTCTCTCTCTGACCCTCCCCCCGTTCATGCTCTGTCTCTGTCTCAAAAATAAATAAAAATTTAAAAAAAATAAAAATAAAAATAAAAAAGATTTATTTATTTTGGGGAGAGTACAAGCGGGGGGAGGGGCAGAGAGAGGGAGACAGAGGATCCAAAGCGGGTTCTGCGCTCACAGGCTCACAGCACAGAGCCTGATGGATGTGGGGCTCGAACTCACAAACCTGGAGATCATGGCCTGAGCTGAGGTCAGATGCTCCACCGACTGAGCCCCCCAGGCGCCCCTGGATGGATACTTTGAAGCTGCCCCTCTCCAGCAGGTAGCTGCCTCCCCTCACCCAACCAACTGACATAACCCTACCTTGTTATATTCTTCTAATCCCAGACACTTCTCTAGCACTCTGCCTACCTCTTAGCCCCAGTACCAAATTAAAAGGTATGTTTAAAATTGTAAAACAACAACAACAAAAAAAAACACAAACAAACAAACAAAACCCACTAGGATCTCAGTCAAAATACTCTTTCCTGTGACCTGTTTCTGTCTTTCTGGTTTCTTTGGGGATTTCTTTTTTTCTTTTTCTTTTTTCTTTCTTTCTTTATTTTGAGAGAGAGAGAGCGCACAAGTGGGGTAGACGCAGAGAGAGAGGGAGAGAGAGAATCCCAAGCAGGTTCTGCACTGTCCGCACAGAGCCCACCTCGGGGCTCGAACTCACAAACCGTGAGATCATAACCTGAGCTGAAGCCGGATGCTTAACTGACTGAAGCCACTCAGGCGCCCCTCAGTGTGGATTTCTTTTAATTTATCCCATTTGAGAGTCCTTGACATTCTTGGCTCTGGTCATTGGAGTCTGCCCATAATTTTGGAAGTTCTGTTATCCTCTCTTGGAAGAGCTGCACTTGCCTCAAACAGCCTAACACAGGCAGCCGAGAGCAGGATAGGAAATGCTGGGGTGTTGCCCCTGGTGAGAAGAGATTCCCCCAGCTGGTGGCTAAGGGTGAGCAAACCCTATGTGCCCGGTTGCACCAGTATGGAGTGGAGTTGCCATCTCACTGAACTGGTAGAAGGCAGGGAGGTAGAAGATATCAAATACTGGAAACGCTCACTATTTAAGTGACTTTTCTCATAGATTTTCTTGAATAGTTGATTCCTCATTTACTGTATGCCTTTAGAACCCCTTCCAGAGACTTTAAATGGTTGTTATTTTAATACTTTCCCCCAGTTTTCACTGGGGAGGGGATCTGGGAAGATCGTCCTAATAACATGCAGAAAAAAATTCCCTTTTAATAGTTCTGGATCTTCGCATTTCCCAAATATTAAATATATTTTTAATGTTTATTTATTCTTGAGGGAGACAGAGTGTGAGCGGGGGGAGGGGCAGAGAGAGAGGGAGAC